GTGCAATTGAACCTTGGAAAAGATATTTGGAGGAAGATCTTGGAGATTTAGGAGGCTTGGAGCAAGGGGCTTTGCTTGGATTCGGATTTCATTGCTGTTGGGGCTTCCTTTTGAGGTATAATCTCGTTCTTGCGTCGTTATTCTTCTAGATTCATGATTCTTGGAATGTATGGGAGGCTTAGCTTGTGGTATCCTGAGTTTGAAGAGTAGATCTGAGGTTGCTACCTCAGATCTGGAGTAGAGGAGGTCTTAAGTGCATTAAAGTCCCTGTTCTTGAGTGTTTGGTGAAGCCACCATGTCCCAAACCCTAGCCCTAAAGTGTAAAATGCCTAGATCTCTTTGGATTCACGTAAAGTTTGCCACTTTACGTGATGGATGGGTTGTATAAGGGTAGACCTATGTTTTGGATCTTCTGCATGGCCTGGAAAACTTCTGCATGGGTTAAGATCTAGAGGCACTCGGCTAGTTGCTTGAAGATGGACTGGAACTCGGCGAGTTGGAAGAACAACTCGGCGAGTAGGTTGAAGATAGCCTTGGACTCGGCGAGTCTGTTCTTGGACTCGATGAGTCTGGTCGTGAGGCCCTAATATTCTTCTGGTTGAGTCATGAATCGGCGAGTCAAGGGAGGACTCGGTGAGTTGAGTACGAGGGGACTCAGAGTTGCGAGACTTGGCGAGTCTCGGGGTGACTCGGCGAGTTGAGTCGCAGATTGGGGAAGTTCTAAGCATGGGGACTCGACGAGTCATTGGGTTGACTCGGCGAGTAGAGTCAGTCAGGAGGTTGACTTTGACTTTGTCCAAGGGTTGACCAGTTGACTTCCAGGGGTAAATTGGTAATTATTGGTATTTATTGGATTCAGTCTTTTGGGTATTGACAGTGTTGGAGTTCGGGTCGGAGGTTGCAGCAGCGTGATCTTATCCTTTCAGTCAGCAGTTGCGAGGTGAGTTATCCTTACTATATCGATAGGGTCTAAGGCACCAAGGTCGGCCCTTTATTGGATTGAGATTTGGATATGGTTGTTATGTTATTGCTTTGATATGTCTGCATCCTGGTAGCTAGGATGGTATATGCTAGAGACCTGGTTAAGGTCGATTTCCCGATATGTGGAGTGATGTTATGCTAGTGACCGGTTAGGTCGGTATCCTGGTTAGGGTAATGATATGTTATGTGATCTGTTTGATCAGTTTGTGGACTATGAACTCTTATATGATTGTATGTTATGTGCACAAGGTTGTTTGGACTGGAGTTGGGTTGAGGCGAGTCCTGCTTTGTGCTGTAGGCCAAGATACCCAGGGCGGACTGGTTGTTCCGAAGGCCCAACGAGCGGTCCGGATAGGCTGTAGGCCCCACGAGGGCAGACCAGACGTGCCGAGGCTCGTAGAGTGGACCAGGCCGACTGAAGGCCCAATGCGGGCGGACCAATCATACTGTAGACTCAGAGAGTAGACCAGGTTGGTTGAAGGCCCGGTGCGGGCGGACCAACCACACTGCAGACTCGAGGGAGATGACTGGACTCGAAGCGTGGACTAGGTGGACTGAAGGCCCGACCCGACGGACCAGTCCAACAGTAGACCCGATATGCATGGTTGTTCTGCGATTCGTTATGATATAGCATGTTATGTGTATGGTATATGTGGTTGGTATTTTGGGGGTATCTCACTAAGCTTTCGGGCTTACAGTTGTGATTTAATGTTTTTCATGTTCTTCAGGAGACCGTGGCAAGGCGAAGGCGTGATCGTACCGCTCCTCGCGTTTATGTTTTATGATATGGATCTGGGAATACTCTGATAATAAATGTATTGAAAATCTTTTTGTAATAACTTAATGAATTGGGATGTTTTTGAAAAGTTTAAAATTTTGTTGAAATTTTGGTCGTTACAGATATATACCGTATATGTATAAATATAGTATATGGGGTAACAAAGGGTAATAAAAGATGTGATAGTATGATGAAATATAAGATATCATAGTATGATGAAAGATATAGACAACGATAGGATGCCATGACTTTAGAAATGGTACTAGTGTACTAACGATGTAGAAATGGTACCGGTGTACTAACGAAGTAGTCATCTAACAAAGTATCAACCATCTGACTATTTGATGCTAGTCCTGTGGAGCACAGGCGGATTCGTAACCTGTAGGTGATGTACTTTGTGCCCATTTGATGTACTCTACTTCCTACTGATACGTATTGTGGAGAAATCCGTATAACAATATTGTCAGCAACGATGATTAAGATGATTCTTAGGACATATTCTTCGGAATGAAAATAGAAAAAAACATACTGACATGTATTGTAGAGAAATCCCCAAGACAATATTGTCTAGAACGATGACTATGATGACCCTTAGGATAGATCCTTAGGGAAGAATAAAGAAGAAAACACGAATGGGTAATCAGGTTAATTCTTTGATAATTTAACAAACTAACTACATTATTGTGGGTTGAAAATCCTATGTGTTCACCTGGCTTTCCATCCTGACCCAATCAGCTTCTTTGTATCACAGGTAGTGGTACAAAGGTACATGAATGATGAGAGATTCAAGGAGATGTAGACTAATATTGTAAGATATTGTAAGACATGTTTATGCTTACATTTTATATCAGTTATGACATCCCAAGTTTTTATAAATCAATGAAAAACATTTCTTCAGAAATAATTTTACGGGACCAAATTTCACATCTATAAATAAACTCTGTTTTAAATTAAGCATAAATAAAAAGTTATAAAATGCCCGTAAAATGAGGATGTCGCAAGATTAGATGTGTTGGTGCTTCACAAAGAAGATGACTAGTGTGGGTAGTGAAGCCATGTTGAGTTTGTTTTTTCTTACAGGCTTTCCAAGACCATAGGAACCCATATCGGAGGACAGGGATGTAGGTGTTGATGGGGTTGTTGGTACAGAGCCAAATATGTATCCCTTACAAGTCAGCCAGCAACGTAGGCTCAGTAACCAGAGATCCGTTAAAATTTAACGAAAGTGACTTAATTGAGATGTAACTTGTAATTTTAGTGACATATTGCGCAAAAAAATAGTTGAGTGGCCAAGTCGGGTAAATGACAATAGTTGATTGTGGTACAGTGACATTTTCTCTATAAAAATGGTGGATGACCGATGACGTGATACACTGCCACATAAGCTTCCTCAACACGTGACACTTCCACGTAGACTCGGTAATTGGGGAACCATTTAAAATTAACAAAGCTGACTTAATTGATAGGTAATTTGTAAGTTTAATGATCTATTGTGAAAAAAATAGTTTGATGGCCAAATCGGATAAATAACAATAATTGATTGTGTTACAATGATATTTTCCCGTTTAACATATATACGGCAGGGTAATGTGGATTCTAAGACTTTACCTTGTTTATTATCTTTTTTTCTATACATAATTTATCTATAATACACTAAGTTTTGGACAAAGAAAACAAAAAATAAATAAATAAAAACATGTGTTTAAATATGGTTGTCGATGTCACCACGTCGGATCATATCAACAACATATAAACAAATGGCCACGTCACCCTCGAAGCAACCAGGTAAAACCAATGGCAACTTGTAAAAAAGATGAAATTTACAAAAAAAATCAACAAACTAATGGATTTTTAGAAACAAAAAATATAAGCGTCAAGATTATTGTGAGAGAAAACATTACCAATAAAAAAAATTAATGATGGATAACAAAATTGGAAAAATAGTTTTAAAATTATTAGTATAATCCATACATGGTTGTCGATGTCATCACGTTGGGTCATATTAACGACATATAAAAAAATGGTCATGTCACCCTCGAATCAACCAGACAAACCCAACGGCAACTCGTAAAAATGATGAAATTGCCAAAAAAGAAATCGATTAAGTAGTGGTTTTTTAGAAACAAAAACTATGTGCGTCAAATTTATTGTCAGAAAAATTTAGATCCAACATTATATAATTTTTGCCATTTATTTCATTAATTCCTAAACATTTTAATTGATCAAATACTTAGACAATCAATTAATTATTACAAATTTAAGTTGTAAAAAACACAATCAAACACTTTCTATTTGAACACGTCTACAGCCAAAATTAGCACATCTAAATATCCCATTATAAAAAATATATAAGAAAAAATAGTCTGAAATTCACTAAAAGAAAGGAATGGGGAAGTTTGTTGGAAGGAATCTCGACTGTGGAAGTGCATGATTACCACATATATTTATGGGAAGATGATAATGGGAGTGCATAGGATTCCTCACAAGAATGTGATTGATGATGACTTTAGCTTAATAATAACCCTTTTTAAACACCTAACAAGTAACCACCCTCTTTACTTTCACTAAATGAATAAACCTAACCCCTAACTCCAAAAACCTCCTAAAAACTTTCCTCATTACTTGTACAGTACAACCTCCAAAAGCAGATAAAAAGTGCAATTGCACTCGAGGGAATCCAATGGTGCAATAATTATAACCCTTTTCAAACGGCCAAATCCATAAGACTTATCTTTGATACAAAAAGTCTTTCTTGCTAAGCCAAAAAGATTTACGATTTTTGTTTATAGAATCCTAGGGTTTGTTTCTTTGTTACTTAATGGTTAAGCACTTAATCCCAGACAGTTCTACATGCTTGTTTCCTTTCGCTTAGTTTGGACAAAATGACTTAATAATAGATTTAGCCAAAAAAAAAAATTACTCGTTATATTATAAGACACTAATCATTTACCTATTTATCTTTCGTCTTTTTCCCCATATTGAAATTAGTTTTTTGAAATGTAAGATCAACATGGTTATCAGCCATTGTGACTCATTGAGATTTGATCAACTAACTAACTAACGACCCTTTAGTCTCATTTAAATGGTTTATTATTATTATAGCTAGAAAAGAAACAGATCTTGATGTTACTAATGCAACAGTTTATCCAGGGGACATGATTACCCATTTGGCTACAACTAGATGAAAAAAAGAAGATGAAAAAAAAAAAAAGAAGAAACAGCAGCAGCGCCTTGTTTAGTTGTACAGTATAAGTAGGACATGCAAATGGAAAGTGATGTATCAAAATAAAAAAGTGCAAATGTACTTGTGGGCATTCAGTTCTGCAATAAGATACACAAGTAACTTATAAACTGGTAATGGTAAAGAAGGTATATATAATAAGATAAAGGCTGGACCATAAAAGTACAAATACAACAAATATCATCCAATCAAAAACAAGGCCACTGCTTGTGTTTTACTCCAACTCACTTTCAGGTTCAGACCCCCACACTTACTCCTTAGTTTTACCTTCATTATCACCTTCCCTACACTATTTAATGCCTACTCAAATTTTACCAATGCATTTATATGAAAGAAAAAGTATCGTATTAATCAGAGGTATAAAGACATGTCTATGTTCAATTCTTCATTTGCTCTAATAATCTAGAAACATAAAGCCAAGATAAAGCTTATAGGGCTTTCTTGACTTGAAAGAAGTTGGATCTTTCTTTGTTGGCAGCCTCCACATCATCAGGAGATGCCACTGCTACCACAACTCCTTTATCTTTGATAGCATCAATTGCATCACCAAATTCCTTGAAGTCATTTAGCCTTTCAAAAAAAAAAATTAATAACTGGCTCATAATATGTAATATAATTTATTAAAAAAAAAAAAAAGATTGTGGTTGTACCTTGTTGATAGTATTTCCTCACGTCTTACTTGTCTTTCTTCTTCTGTAATTCCCAGCAAGTACCGCAACAAGCTACAAAAGACATTAGCGTCAGTCTCAGTCAAACACAGTACAATCTGTTATGTCTTGTTTTGTATCAGATAACTTACCTACTATACCCTTTGGCATCGGGTAATTGGTATGAATCTACATCACCAATTGTTCCGATGATTGCTTTCGTAAGGGTATCATCGTCCATTTCCATTTGACGGAGGAAATCACAGGTTCCATCGTATATATCCAATGTCTTTAACAAATTAGGGTCCCGATAAGATAGGAACGAGAATACTCCTGTTTATAAGATTTGGTTAAATAGTTATAAATAAATAAATGAACATTTTTAATTAATAATTTTTTACCTGAATGAGAGTCGAAATCACAGAAGCCTCCGTAGGCCCCACCACTAACACGCACACGATCCCATAGCCAGGTGTTACTTATGTGTTTTGATATGACATATGCACTACCCTTAAGTTGGTATCCAGTTTCATACACATTTGCAGCTTTTCCAACGTAATTCACCTGTCGATAAACAAAATAATTTGATAACGAAAAATTATAAATATATATAACTTCGTGTAATGATCTTTTTTTTTTATTAAATAAAAAAAAACCAACCTGTGTGGGTATCACGATTGCTTCATTTATGGGAGGAATTCGTGCATTCCAAGGAGATGATGCAACTGGAGAGGTTACTGGAAGCAAATCAAGAAACTTTCCGACATGTTTTTCTGAGTTTTTAAGGTTTTTCCCATCGGATGTGAGGTTCACAAGGCAACCCTTCTTTGAGAGAAGGGTTTTACGGATCTCTTCAAGGGAATTGGAAATTCCATTCCAGTCCTGTTCCACTTTCTCTTCAAGATCTTTCAGATATTCCAGGTAACTGAAAGTATAAAGAAAATTATTATTAATCATTTTCTTTCTTTTCTTTTCCCGCTTATTTTATTTAAAATGATGCATTTATTCCAACCTGACACCACCCATCTGTTCACTAATCCACCCTGCACTGTTTAACTTTGCATCCATTCTTGCAGCTGCAATGCCATGCCCACTTCCCCTTAACCGATTCTATATAAAATATATATATATATATATATATATATATATATATATATATATATATATATATATATATATATTAAAACCTTCAGACCATATTTTATTAAGTGGTATGATAATTAAACTGTATAATTTGAATATTATTAATACCTCCATTCTAGCTTTACTTTGGGAGACAAACTGCTTGAAGCGCTTTTGATCTGCAAACTGAACATCTTGGAGAATACAGTTCACCTGAAATAACAGTGAGTTATAATAAGCTCATTGGAGAAAAATATTTAATTTTAGTTAAATGAATATAATAGACATACAAGGTTGAAAAGATCTTCAGTGCGTGCTGACATGGCTTTGCCTCGAACAATAATATGACTGATAGGAGCTTCAGACCCTCTTTTTGATGAGGTGAAAGGGAATACTGATATGCCACCTGTCTTCCTTCCAATTAACTGATTTAACTGCACAAAGTCCAGGTCTTTTGTACCCATCTCCAGTAATGACTGACTGTTTATCAATAAGTATAAACATATTAATGATAATAACATGTAATTACTTAATTACCCTCGTGTGTCCAAAAGAATCTTACCAAAAGAGTGGAACCAGAGGAAGAAGTTCTTGCTTCAGTGAACTCATGTCAAATACTATTTCAGTGTAAAGAACATCATTCGTGAAGAGATCATGCTGCAATACTTTCACCCCATTGATGTCTCCAACCTTAAAATTATCAAATTTTGTTAAAGATGATAAAAAAATCCAGGAGATAAATGAACTAAAAGATAAGAAAAAAATAAAATTACCTCAATTGGAATTTGAGTGGGCTTTTTGGGAATATCTTGAAGTGAGAGACTTGGAACAGATTTTAAAGCTTCTGGTGGGTCAGGAGTTTCTTGTTTCAGTTTTAGCTCGTGGGTCATACGTGCCAGCTCAGCAAGATCTTCCTCAGTCATACTTTTTTTAACTTTTTCCAAACTTTCTCTCTCAACTGCTTCATCTTGTGAAGCTTTCTCTGGATCAGGCTGATTAAAAAGTACATTAAAATTAATCCTGATATCATGTCTTATAATTGAAAAGGAATAAAACCCTAAACCCAAAATCGAAAAGTACCTGCATTTCAATCGTGACAAGATGAGGATTATTTAAAATATATTTCTCTATCAATGGAGCAAACACTGCTTTTGATCCTTCCTTTTCAATTCTAGCTTTCAATGCTGCAAGAGGCTCTTGGTATTTCAATGGTTCAAATGGATCCATATCATATATCCACTTCCCCTGTAAACAAAAAGAGGAAAAAGATCAAAAATTTACAGATAAGACTCAACTCTCAAGTACAAGAAACAAAGCCAAACTTACAACAGAGCGAAGCATCAAGGCAAGGCCACGAGGAAATGATCCAGTGTTATTTTCTCTGAGAGAAAACTCGATTGTATTCATGGAAGCTTCCACAGCCTCCATGTTAAAACCTTCATTTGCCAAATTTGTAAGTGTGTCCATGATTAAAGTTTCAACTTTCTGAATGTTTTCTTCAGAAACACCCTTGAGTCCAATGCTAAATTGAGGTTGAAGAAGCTCATCTTCTATTCCACCACCAACAATGGCATCTCCCAAACTACTTTCAAGCAAGATTTTCCTTAAAGGTGAAGCAGGAGTTCCCAACAACAAATGATCAAGAAATCCAAGAGCAAGCTCGGTTTCAAGGCCTAGAGGCTCATCAGAAAGCAACCAATTAAGGCATACCATGTGGTTTTTCTTTAAATCACCACCTTCAGCAGCAGGGTATTTCTCAACAACTCTAACTGGTTTTGAAAACAGTTTCTGGGTTTCAATCTTTGATTCAAGGCGAGCTGGACTTGCATCGAACAAATCTAGATATTCTGTAATTGTTGTTCATTTCATAATGTTATGAGTAATATGAGTAAAATGAGTAATACCACAACAACAAAAAATTGAGCAAATATTAGACAGATGAAAGATGTGTACCACTTAAGATTCGCAGGCGTTCATTTGTATCATCATCTCCATAAAACCAAATCCTGGCATTGCTTGGATGATAATACTTACGATGAAAATCCTGTGTATTTTATATTGGTAAAAAGGGAATATAATCTAATGGAGCAAATAAACACAAGTATGTGACATAAAAACACCTTGAACTCTTCATATGTGAGGTTGGGTATGACTTGGGGATCACCTCCACTGTCAACACCATAAGCATTGTCTGGAAAAACAGCCTGCAAATATTACAATTGTGGCATCAGTATGATGTTTGAGATGTTAGCTCAAGCCTGTAGCAGAGAAAAGACTTTCTTAAATGAAAATATATTTTACCTGTTGAGATGTTCGGCCTAATATGTTATCAGGCTGAGAGTAAACACCTTTCATCTCATTGAATACAACACCTGAAAGCATCATATGTAATAGGAAACATCAAGAGTTGTTAATAGAGCATTACAAGATTTGATAACATAGAGAAGGAAACTTGATAATGAGTTAATGACCTTTATAAGTAATTTCTTCAGAAGGGTCATTCAGCTCATAATGCCAACCCTCTTGTTGGAAAGTCTTAATGTCCTCCACACATTTAGGAAAGAAGACAGCATCCAGGTATACATCAACCAAGTTATAAAAATCCTACAATTAAAGAAAAAACATGTCTTGTTAATCTAGATTTGGAAAGGCTATCACCTATGTTTGTTTCCAATAACTAGTGAAAAGTTATTAACCTTTGTGTTTGTGGATGCAACAGGATAGCATGTCCTATCAGGATATGTGAATGCATTTAGAAAGGTGTGCAAGCTCCCCTTCAGTAGTTCAACAAATGGTTCTTTCAGAGGGTACTTTCTTGAACCACATAATACACTGTGTTCCAATATGTGAGGAATTCCAGTTGAATCTTTCCTGCATTAGTAGTTGGATGAAGTGATGATTAGTATAACATATGCAGTTATGCACAAATGGATTATGGATTAATCAGTTGTCTCAATTACAATGCATACAAGCCTTAAACAATAAACAACAGTTTTCAGATTCTGAAAAGGAAACGTACGGTGGAGTTCGGAAAACTACACCAAAGACCTTGTTCTCGTCGTCATTTGATACAGACATTACTTCGCAACCGGTTTTCTTATGTTTATACAAAACAGCTGTCGACTTACACTCCTCAATAAACTGCTCGGAGACCTTCTCAAATCCAAGCTTCTCAGCAACATCATCGTGAGCGCCAATAGCATCTGCAAACAAGCAGTAAACCCTAAAATTAACATTAACAAGTGAAAATGAGTGACTATGACAACCTAATCCGGTAAATCAATCGTGAATAATATCATGTCCTCTCCGCGGTAACTAAAAGTTGAGTTCTGAATTCAAATAGGATAAATTGTAATTGATATAAAAGTGAATAACATTTGAAGGACAACTATAATTTAAAACCCCGTATGTCTGTATAGCAATTAACATAAAAAAGGACGAATGCTGAATTGCTGATGTAGAATTTGTAACAAACTCCATATCAATTTTCTTTCCAAAAAAGTAAGAAACTTTAGCTCTTTGTCAACGAAGCGGAAGGAACATGAATTAGTAGTGATACTAGTCATACCAGGTGAGAACTGTGGAGATGAAGTTGCGATGGCTTTGGGGGTTACAGGCGAGAAGCGAGAACTGAAATGAAGGCGGGATGGCAAGGCGGTGGAGATTTGGCGGAGGTGGCGGCGAAGAGGAGAACGGCGGTGGATATTGGGGATAAGACGGTGGCGATTGGAGGAAAGACGATGGGAAGAACGAGAGAAGGTTCGAATACACGCATGTGAAGTACATGACGAGATAGAGCGAAGAAGAACAGCTCTCTCCATCATCAATGGATGTAACGAAAACCGCGATGAGGTTGCAGAAGGCAAAATGGAGCTTATATGGTGTGTGGTGGCTTGGAGAGAACGTTGCAAGATTTCAATGGTTCTTTTCTATTTTATTTTTTTATTTTTTGTGGTTTTGGACTTTGGCCCAAAGTATCCAAAACTCATTGATCAAATTATACGCCACCGAAGAGAGGAAGGTCGAAGCAACTTATATTTTGTAATCTTATGAATTTTTTTACAAATAAGACCGAGAGATGTCCCATTTTTTGTACTTGTGGCGACGTTAAGGCACCGGGAGTTTCACTAGGTGTGTCGATCGGATAAATTTTTTGGGTTTCAGATAGTTTGGGTTAGGTAGATCGGTTTTTCCTTAAAATAATAATACCCGATACCAACCTATATTGCAATTTGGGTTTTCGGATTTGTATTCGGGTTTTAGGTTGGATCGTCGGATCTACCTAATTGGATTTTATTACATTTGGGTTTGAATGCAAAATTTTTTATTATTAGTCTGAGCATTGTGAAGTTGAACATAAAAGCTTTATATTACTATGAAATTAAAGGTATAAAATTTCCAGTAACAATCATTTTGCAAGAAATAGATCTATAAATTTTGTGTAGTTTAATAACCATATATTAATTATTTTGTTTCTTAAAGTTCATGGGATGGGATGACTAACATTTTCTTTATTGTTTTACTATACTCATTTGTAGCAGGTTTATGATTTACTTTGAAACATTCTTTTTAATTTTATAAAAGCCAATTTGACTAAATAACGATGGAGTGTTGAAATGTAAGTATATATAGTCATATGGACCAATAGGTTAATAGCATTATATGTTTTTGTAGTTTGAATAAATCGAGTAAAGTGAAAGAAACCAGAGTACATATCTAATCAAGAATACAAAACGTAAATAAGATATGTTTGACTCTATTAAAACTTCAGTATGAGTATAGGAATATGAGAGAGTAAAATGAACAAGTTCTACACTCGTTACTCTTACCCTAGTATTAATCCCTATTTATAGGAACAGCTGAAGTGAACAAAAAGTACATAAGAGCGTAAACATGAAAGCTTTGAAATCTAAACTATCCTTACGAAATACATACATTCGAATCTAACATATAGACTTCGAATCTTAACAAACTACAAATGACTTCGACACCTCACAACTAAATTTGAACTCAACATCCCCCCCCCCCCCTTGTTAGCAGTGTTGAACATAAGTCATTAACAACTTTGTAGCTTGATGAAGTACCCTGCGAATCTTAGTATACCATGCAATTATCTTTTGAACTTCAGCTATATCTCCTAGATTATTCTTCTTGTAATTGTTGATACGAACCAGAAGATTAGTATACTATGAATTCGTATACTTCTCAACATCACATAATTGAAAAAGAAATTTTGTCATGTTGTTATTCTTGTTCTTCCCAACAAACACCACACCCAAAGGCTTCAAACTATCTCCCCATCATCAAAATCCCTTTAAATTTCATTGACCTTTTAGCATCGATTGAGGTACTTTCACTTGACGTCCCATTGCTAAAGCATGCTCCACGTCATCCAAGGCTTGATAACCATAATAATTGTCTATGAACAATTTGATATGAGCAAATCCAATCAAGAAGTCTTCTTTGTTATTGACTTGTAGTTTTGATACATCCACAAACCTTAGAATCTTCACAACGTTGATGAGGTCATTCATGTTCATTAATGGAAAATCTTTCACTGAGAAATCAAAAGCAACGTTGTTAACTCTTACCACGTGAAATCAATAATTCTGCAACACCCATTCAAACAAACCATCTTTCGAAATATTGAGAACTTTCACTATTTTCACCAATGACTAGATATCCTCCTCTCTTTTCCCAATTACCGCATGAAACCTTAACTTCAATCTTTTGTATTCTTCCTTGTCTTCGAAGTTATCCACAATCTGATACTGAGTTGAGACAAACATTATTTCATTGATAGGAAAATCCAACTGATTGAAATAAGTATTTTTAGTATCAAAGCTCTTATTAGGAACCTTCTCAAATCATGCATGATCCCATTGAAAACTATATTTCCAGTAGCATCACAACAAAATGGTTTTGTTGGATCACCCTTCTCAAGCCCTGGAGGATCATTTTCCTTTGACGAATTATATTGTGTATTTGACTTTGTCTTTCGATTTTAGCCTTTTGAGCTTTCTTCTTTTCTTCTATAGAAGGCTCAATACCCTTTCCTTTATCATCTTTGTTTTGCTTCGAAGATGGTGGCTTAGAAATCGAACCTCCACCAGATGAACAATGACAATACCCTTGGTTAAAGGCTTCGAAGTCATTGTATCGAGGTTGTTGACATAGAAGTAGGAACCGAAGTTGTAATTTGTGTACTTATTACCTTCCCAATAACTTTACACCATCAGAATCCTTCGATGAAATAGTACCAGCTCCTTTCGAAGATCCCAAGCCAACCCCCCTTTTCTCCCCCTTGCACCACATGAGACACAGGTGGGGAATCGGTGGGCATCAAATTCACCAGTCATAAAAGAGGAGCAAGTTCAGCTTTAAGATTATTTTCTAAGGAAGAAAACATATTCGAAAGAGACTCCTAGGAAATTAAAGATGAAGGGGAAACATCAAGCTTTGACAAGGATTCCTTCAAACTCCCCAAAAACCCTTCTAGCTTAGCAAACACCTTGGAATCAGACTCTATCTTCGAATCAACCTTAGTGATGATAGAATTATAAAACTCAACAACCTTCGTAAATGCATCAATAATTACATCAACCTTAGAATGAAGGGTTGAGTAATTTTGATCAAGTTTATCAATCTCCTTCGAAATTCCGGTTTTGATTGCCTCGACTTGGAGACAGACAGACTTCTCGACTTTCTAAACCTCTTCGACGAATAAAATATAACGTTCTTTAGCAACTGACCTTAGGTCCTTAACCTCATATTGAAAATTTCCAAGATGGCGCTTCAAACATTCTTCATGTTGGGACTCAATCTTCTCTATTACCATTCGCAACCGGTTTTCTTGGGCTTGCAATAAAACATCAACTTCGATCCTAGAAACGACATTTTGACTCCCTGAGTCAACTTGAAGTTTTAGTAAGGAATTCAAATTTTGATTCATGATCTTGAATTGCTTTCTTGGCATAAGAATATGATCAAGAAAGTTATCCTCCTTAAGATCAAACTGTATATCAGCAAAAGATACCATAATGCCATTATAATCTTGATAAACCTATAGACTAGACTTTCATCTTCTGTTGATCAAGAAAGAAAAAAAGAAGTGATAGGTTGATTGAGAATGATGTGATAAGTAGGTGAAGTGGTATAAGATAGTAATAAAGTGGGTGTAGGAGTAATGAATGGTGGTAAGGAAGTAGAAGTGTCAATAATGGTTGATTCGATTGTGGATGAAAGAACAATGGAAACAGGAACTGATGAAGATCGACTTGAAGAGGTACCTTGAGCTTCAGAAGTCAACATCCCATCACCAATATTGGCATTCGTGTCCATAGTATATATGTTCACAAGGATGCCTGAAGTTCGAACCTCCTCAAAAACTGCTCGACCATTGAAACTTCGAGTGATGTGACTTTAGTTTGCTTAGGGATGGAAGGATTTGAAGAAGCACCCAAATTAGTACATATGTCCACATTAGATGCTTTCACAAAGCTACTAGGACTTCCAGTCTTCTCAAAATTTGACTGAATTGGAGAGTCCTTTTGAGGTGAATTGAAGCCAACGTTATTATTTCGAATCGGAGACTGATCACTGTCATCTTCTAATTTTGTTTCTACCATAAACTCATCAAGAGGATCTTGAAATTTCTTTTGTTTCTTCTTGAGCTTCTTAACCATGGCATGGGTTCTTCTTTTCTTTGAAGTCGGAGAAACTGGAGCAGGTATTTCACGAATAAGCACACCCCTTCAATTTATCTAAGGTTTTTGAATCTTCTTGATCCTTGATACATAATCCCCCTTAGGTGAAGAAAGAGACTGGTCAGGACCTTATTCAATAATATGCCTCCTTTCTGGTGAATGATGAGGTCTATGAGTTGGCTTCATCGTCTCTTGAGAATACCTATTTTGGAGGGCATTGTTTCTTTTGGAACATCCTAAACAATAGGTTCTTTGACAGGCTTCGTTACCTCCTTCTTGACTGTCTCTGGAACAGATTTAGGTTTATCAATAGTTGAGGATTTCTTAGAGCTTTTACCATATTTTGAATTCCCTTTGGTAACAACACCCATATTTCGATAGCAGGGTTGATTGTGGTAAGATAAGCAACAAGAACAGGATCTGTCGGATCCACCTTTCGAAGAATAGCATCTGGAATTCTCGCAACATTAGGAAAGATCTTTGATACATCTTCAACAGACTTCAAATGTTGATAAATTCCAAACTCAAATTTGGAACGTCAACTAAAACAAGAATCCCTTCCTTCTCATACACTTATTGCAGAATCAGACTCCAATATCGAGCACACGAAACACTATTGGCAACATTGGTATGTGAGATACTAACACCAAATTCATCCCATGGTTGATTAGCATAATCAACAGTCAGATCATAATATAGGCCAACAATCATATCATAAACTTCAAGTTTAACTTTATCAAGACCAAAAGTTCTACCCGTCAAGCATCGAAGAAAAATCCTAAATAAGAAATTCCACATACAAGATAAAGAATACTTTGTAAACTGACTAATTTTTGTAAGTGGGGGCTGGTGACCCATCTCATTGAACATGTGAATCACATTTTCATTTGTAACCTCATAGAAAGGTCCATCAGTTGGAATCTTCAAGATTTGAGAGAATTGTTTCTTTGTGAGCTTATACTTCTTGTCGTTGGTTAACTGGAATGTGACCACTTTGGAAGTTTTGTTGAATACGGGTATAGAACTTGCCAATGATAACCATGTCATTGGAACCAAGAAATAATCAGTCATCACAGTGGAAAGAACTGAGTGATTGAGAGAAACAATCAACATCTTTAGTTCTTCTGGTATTTCGAAACATCTAGTTGAACCCGATAATTGGAACTTTGGATCTTCAACAGAGGTTGAGATGTAGCATCATCAGTGGTTTGAAAAGGATCAACATGAACATTGGTTGTCGTCATTGTTAGGGTTTGAAGGTTTGAGAGAAAAGATAAGTATAAGGAAAGAGAATTTGGGGAAAATCTTCAACCAGTATACGTAAAGTTTGAATTAGTGACCCTCAAAATCCTTTTATACTTAGTACACAATTTGAATTTAAAGCAGTTATCAATAAAATCATGCCACGTGTATCCTTGAAAAATGGACCAGTTGTCGTAAAAGTCGTCACGTCTGAAAAGTAATAAGCACTTTTCTTGGAAAACCATGAATCAACCAAACCGTCACATCAATTATTCGTTTAGCTTGCCCCAATAGGATAAGAACTGTCACCGAACCTTCGTTTCGAGGCAAGGCTCGTTTGCTTTTGGGTTTAGAAACAAAATCATAGCCAAACTTTCAAAATCTAGGTTTGGATTGGTAATACCCAAGACCTCGAGGATTCCTGTGTTATTGTGTGCCAAAGAAATAGTGGGAACCAAGATAAAAAAAAAAGTGCATATATTGTCATCAAATAACCATTTGATGTAAAAGCAGATGGATCCCAGGCAAATATCTCTTCATTTTATCAAGAGAGATATCGAACTACTTGTGTGGTATCACGTGAATTACAATCGAATACTTGTAAAGAAGTATCGAAGGGCTTCTTTTAGATAGGCTTCGAAGGTAATCTCAATTTTGTTCATGATCACAACTTAACATAAGTGTGAATTTAATGATCAAAATTACTTGTATGACCGGTGTAGTCAGTGACAAGCGAAGGTTAGATAAATTTGTAAGTGACAAAATATTCAAACTGATATTCATACGGAAATCATATTCCAAGAAAAATAAGAGTTGGATCATGTTAGGTAAAGATGTCATGGGTAAAGAACATTTTATCAATATCACACATGACGAATGGAATACAATTTTGAATATCGAAGAAAGGTACTGAAACAAATTTTTCGTGAAAATCTTGAACTAAAAGTTCACCATCAATTCCTTTATCAATTGTGAATTTAGGGTTTCACCATCATCACAGACTCATGAATCAGGATCATGAATACAGGTCTGATTGGTTTCTACTAGAGATGTCGAGGATACGCAAGTGGAGTGTGTGAATCATGAAGAATTAAGTTGATGATAAGATTGGTAAAGAACCATTTTCTACCTCTGCGATTTATATGAACATGGCATAAATCTCTTTACTCAAAATAAGAAGAGACATGTAACTCGTCGACTAATGTGAATATAGCCTAATTGGGAAGGAACCCTCTTAGTGAGTGATCCATTAAGGCTTTGACACACATTGAGTCTATGAGGATTAGGTCGACATACAACAACATGCTTCCATGGACACCTAACTAGTTCAAAGAGTCGAAATGATACATGTCCCCCAGTGACGAAGTAATAACCACCAGAATATGTTAATTGTGATTTGCAAAGAAAATCATTAAACACACAAAGCAACTAAAGAAAAATATTTTTGGATTTTTGTTTTTGAAATGAAAATACAAAAATAAGAAAATCTTTTTGGAATTTTTATTTTTGAAAATTGAAAGACAAAAGTTTTTTTTTTTTTTTTTTTGGAGTTTTTATGTTTTTGAAAGAAAAAGATAAAAGAAATAAAATCTTTTTGGTATTTTTGGTTTATAAAAAACAAGAAAATGTTACCAAACAAGCGAAGTGAAAAGTATCGACATCGAGAAATGATACATCGACACAACAAGTGTTCTCAGACAACAAAGTATAATCTGAACCGTTCAGAGATATTTTGAAAGCAAAGCTGTAACACCCTGTTTATTTAATAAATAAATAAACGAATTAATGAATGAACAGTGGCCCTACAATTTATAATTTTATAGCAAGGTGATGGTCTTGAGGAGTTAATTGTCATAAGTTTTAGAAGGCGAGGATTAAAGTGTAAAATCCGGACTTAATTTATAAGCAATATAGAAGACAGGGGCTGCTTGGTAACAATTAGGACTCACTATGAAGGGAATTATGGAAGTAAGGGTTAAAATGTAAATTCCGGATTTAAATTGTAAAGATTTATGGAAGTTGGGGGTTGAATAGTAAATATTGGATTAATGTTGAAAAGAGTTTTTGGGGTTAGGTGCCAAACTTGTCATAATGATTCAATGTTTCATTTAGAACATGGGATTAAACCGTGCCTCCCCCCCCCTCCCCCCAATCGTCGCATCTTAAACCCTAAACTTGGAAGACCTTCATCAGCCGCCATGAGAGACTCTAGTCGCAAGCCTCATCCCTCCATTTGCCCATCTGCCATCACCGGTCGAGTGCTATCGACGCGGTAGTCGCTGCTGCTGCCTTGCGTAGTTATTGACAAAGCCAACACCGACGATCTCTGCCACCCCGCTCCACCTTTCTTCCTCTTTTTCTTCTGCCACCATCCACACGCACGTCTCACGATGGTTGCGGTGTTTCTTCGATGTCGCACCGCTGCTGTTCTCGTGGAAGACCAACCGTCGTCGGATGTTAATTTGTTGCGGTTGGCAACCTCCCCAGTCATTGACGCCACCGCTGCCACTTCGTTGAAGACCAAGATTCACCGCCTGCCACCGTGAAATGGTGGCTAAGTTCGAGGACTCATGAAGCTAAAGTGTTTTTGGATGTGTTGCCATTATTAGTGTGGTGTTATTTGGCCGGAACTCTCGAGAACAGCCACCACCACCACCGTGAGGTGGTGGCTGCCACCATGTGCCACCTTATGAGTGTATGTGTTTAGACTAGTGTGTGTGTGGGGGGGGGTCAATATTATGGTTTATACTTTGTTTTTCTAGGAAATTGTATTTTTATGTAATATCTTATGTATTTACGGTCAAGTTTACGGCCAGGGAGATGTTTACGGCCGTAAACCCTGTTTACGGCCCATGTTTACCCGGCCCATACTCTCATGTATATATATAGGGGTGAGGAAAAGATTGATGAACACCAAGGAGCTTAAGTCTGTGCATTTGAAGGTGTTCTAGAGAGAGAAACTAGAGAGAAGCTTTGTGTGTGAGAATCTTGTATCTAGATCTTCATTCTAATCATATCATACATAAATTCATCATTTTCTTCTTCTCCTTCTCTTCTATTTGATCTGACATCATCCGTTTGATTGGGATTCGGCACCATCAAATGGATCTGATTGATACACAAGCAGATTTGGGGACTTACAATTGGTATCATAGCTTGGTTGTATCAATCAATTTTTTCAGATCTGGAGCTTATTTGATCTGATTTTGAAAAGAGAATAGCGTTTTTGGATAGATCTCGCAAAAATATTGGTTGTAAAAACAAGTTTTTGGAGCAAAAAAGGTGAAAAAAATGTTGATTTTCGTCAAGAACAACGATTTCTGAAGAGTTTACGGTTTCTGAAGGGTTTACGGTCTGGAGTTTACAGCCGGAAACAGGTCGCCGGAGTTTGCGGCCTCGGCTCGGATCGCAGGCGCGCTTTAATAAAAAAAAGGGACACGAAGTTGGGGTAGCGGGGATCGAACCGGCGATCTCTAGGTCATTAACACAACGTGCTTAGCCAACTCGACCAACTGATCAGTTGTTTCAATGCTCCGATATTTTAAATTTAACCACTCCCTGTCACACCTAATTTCGAAATTTGACACTTTTAACCCCAAAAATCAATTTCTTTTATTTTTAAGCTCCATTTTCAAACCAAAATTTTTAATTTCTAATTTTTGAATTTTATTTTTGATCTTTTTTTCATAAATTTTTTACTTTGATTTTTAAATTTTGACCTTTGACTTTTTCGTTTAATTTTTAAAATTTTCAAATTTAACTTTTCGGTTTGACTTTCAAGTTTAATTTTTTTTTTTGACTTTTTCAAGGTTGACTTTTTCAAGGTTGACTTTTTCATGTTTGACATTTAAGTTTGATTTTTTTTAATTTGACTTTTAAGTTTTATTTTAGCTTCTAGTTGTGTTTTTTTAAATTGATTTTAAGGTCTACGAGGGACTTGAAAACATGAAAGAGAGTCGTCAGGATATGTTAAGACAAAATTTCAACATTTTTTATTATATCCCTGGAGAAACCCTCGAAACTCAGTTGCAGCGATTTACTACACTTATTACCGAGATGAATATAGTTGGGATCTTCTTGTCTAAATGTGAGATAAACAAAAAGCTGCTGAATGCACTTCCGAAATTGTGGGATATGGATATGGCTGACATCAAGAAGACAAAAGATCTCAATCGTCTTAGTCTGGCTAATATAATTAAAAAACTTAATGCTTTGAATTGTCGAAAAACAATGAGTTCCGCAAACCTTCTGGTCAATGAAGTTTCATGTTCTCAATCGTGTGATGTTTCATGTTCTCAATCATGTGAAGCTACGATTAAACTTCTTCGTGAACATAATGATTTATTACGTAGGGAAGTTGAGGACTTGAGATATGAAGGATATCAACTCAGGAAAGGACAGAAACCCCTGAAGGCCCAATTAGAATAAAAACAAAGGATTTTAAGAGAATTCAGACAGAATACATTGAAAAATGTGAACTTTATGACTATATTAAGAGACAACTTGCTGCTGTAACTGAAGAACTTGACGCGTTGAAAATTAAGTGTGGAAAAACAGACGTTAGTTTCAAAAATTATATAACGTCAAGTCAGACAGTCGAGTCCTTATATGAAACCCAATTAAAATTCAAAGAAAATCAAAACAAGGGTCTAGGGTATGATAGTGTACCTCCTCCTTATAATCATAACTACACATCCATCCCTATGACACAGGACGAAATTGGTAGGGAGGCACATCTTCGATATGGAAAACGAGCTGAATTTGTGTCAGGAGGAGTTATTAATGTTGAAAATACTAATGTTTCTACTTCATGTGCAGGTAAAGTAGCAGAAGATGAGAACAATGAGAAAACCATTGAACAAACCAACATCTCCTTGAACTTTGAATCTGTTGCTTCGAACTCAACTGCTTCTGATCAACCTGTTGTTGAGAAATACAGGCCACCAATTCCAATGCAACAGAGTTCTTGTTGCAAGTGTGCATGTGGGAAAAATCAGAAACAAGGCAAGGATACGCCACCAGGGGTAGGAAGAAACAATTTCCCAGTGAAGAAAAAGACTTGTTTTCACTGTGGAACACCTGGACACATTGCCAAAAACTATCCAAATCGCGCATACGTTCCATACTATGCTAAAGGATGGAAAAACGCGCCAAGTGGGAGATACTGCAAAAGAAACCCTTCCAGGTCACGTTCAGACAATGGTGACTGGAACGCGCAGAAGGCCAAGAGTCAAACCCACAAGGCAAAGAATCTGAATCCCAATGGCAAGATGGGAATGCCTGATAAGAAGCCAAATCCAAGAGATGCTCCAGTGAAACAAAGACCGGCTAAGTCAAAGTCATCTCGAAGATCGGCTTCAAGTGCCAAATCAAGTGCCAAGGCACCCATCGGATCGAACAAGAAATGGGTTAAACCCGAATATAGATGGGTACCAAAGGTGAAAACTCCCAAATCTCCTAATGCTCCTAACGTTTCTACATCTTCTGTTTGTGATAAGCAAGACATGTCATGGGAGAAAGTATCGTGCAAGGATGATAAAGGTCGACCCGGTTTCAAAATGGATTGGGTTCCAAAGACCAATTGATCCCGCTTTGTGCTAGAGCAGCTATGGAGGCATATCACCAGACTTCGGTTTGTTGATAGTGGTTGCTCCAGGCACATGATAGGAGACATCTCTCAACTGTACAACACTCAGAACATTGTTTGAGAGTATGTGTCCTTGCGGGAAGGGAAGAAAGGAAGTGGTCACTCATGGGGTTTGTGCTTAATGACATGAAGAATTTTCGGATCTGTTCTGAGTTTATGCGTGCTGTTCTCAGACCTTCTGGATGCAAATTTAATCGGTGACTTATGGTTTGAGTTTTCTTCTCTATACTCCTGAGTTTTTCTTAAGCTGATTCGCTTTAAAGACAAAATTTTGTTTTAGGATAGTTTAAATTTACGCATTTACTTTCATTCCTCTCATATGCACAAATTTAGGGGGAGAAATAAAAACAAAACAAAAATTTTAAAATTTTAAAAAATTCAAAAACATTAGAAAATTAAAAAAAAAAAAAAAAAAACATATGTTGGTTATGAAGTGTGCTTGAGGGAGATGTTTTGGGAAGTGATATTATCAAGTGATAACAGGCAATCTGAGTCTGCATAACGTACCCAAAGTTGAAGGGTCTATGCTCTGGTTTGATGCGTCGGTAGGCACGAAAATTTCTAAATGGACTTGACTAGGCAGAGTTGAACTTAGGAAATTTTTAGACTTGACAAATTTTGACCTAGTTAGCTCCGTTCAGCCTGAAAATACGATGCTCGGATAGGTTGAGCAGGGAGATATATATGGGAATCTACTCGTCACATTAATTGAACCCGTACTTGGAACCATGGTTTAACTTTTCCTCGATGTTCGGATTCTATCCTTAATTCTGGTTGGATGGGGCGACTGGTAAATTTCGATAAATTAGGTCTGTAGAAAGTCATTTTCTTTATTTCTATCTGTTAGTCATATGTTGTCTCCTTTGCGTGACTTCAAATCTGACCTGGTACACAACATATGCAACTCTATCTCTCTGCAAGTTATATATATGAAATTCGTCTTATCTGTTAGCCATATGCTATCTCCTTTGCGTGACTTCTGATCTGACCTGGTACACAACATATGCAACCTTCTACTTCTCAACCTCTCTGAAGTAATAAGTAATAGAATTTTGAATCTATCCTCGCTCTGAGTGGTTGTCTGTTCACCCGGTGTAAGGAGTATTCTGGAAGTTCTTGATGGCTGGGGCATATCAGGAATCGAGAAACACATTCCAGTACACTTAAAATTGAACTCATACAGATTGTCTATAAATATCGTTGCTCAATTTAGGTGGACAATAATATCCCTGGTCGTCGTCAGATGAATGGTCCTTAAGATATAGTATCGAGGAACTTAGGATCAGATATAATATCTAGGAACTTAAGTTCACCTTGTCTTATATAATATAGTATGTCCTAAATCAGTCACAAAATTTTCGTGTTTAAGTGGACCACAATACTGGCGATCGATCAGACGAAGATGTGAAGATAAGGGTACCGACAAGTGGAAAAAGGATGTTAAACAACTTTGATCCCAAATCACTCTTAAAATTAGCTATTACTTTTGTTTTTGTCAAGTTTGTTCATAGTGTTCTTCTAATTTAAATATTAGGGGAGAACTAAAAATTAAAAAAAAAATCATCAGAAAAATTCAAAAATCAAAGAAAAATCAAAAAAAATTAAAAATCCAAAAATAGTGTTATTTCTGTTTTATTTCTTGTTCAGAAAAATCAAAAATCCAAAAATATTTTTTTTTATGTTTTAATTTGTGTGCTAAGTTTTCTTTTAGTTTTGTTTTGTCTTGAAAAGTGATTTCAGGTGGCGGTGTGCTTGCATCGTTGAGTTCGATTTGTTTAGGGTGCTTGAAATCCTAATGGGCCTTTTAAGCTCCAACGAACCCTAATTGACCCAAATAAAACCCT